GGCCATATAGATATAGATGTAGATATAGTATATGGCATGTGGGCATAAGTATAAGTGTGTCAGTCTCTCGCATCCCAGACGACCGTTCTGTGACGCAAGAAGAAAGCAAAACTTTGGCCAGCTTTTGGGCTGCTGTCGTCAAACTGGCTGAATGAGCCACCATCACGCACACTCTCACCCAGACAATTGGCCTGCTCAATGGCCGCGTAGACCCCTCTTTTGGCCCCCCTTTCGACACCCCTCGTCCTGTGCTTACGCTAATGTAAATATTTTCCCCCAGCTTCGTTGTTGTCGTGTGCCACAATTATATATGCAGGCCCGGTCCATGGGAAGGGGGGCTCTACGTCTAAAAGCTGTAAAATCCCCCACCATCTGACTGAATGACAAACCGACTAAATGACTAACTGACTGACTGACTGGATGCTGGCGATGATGTCATCGTTTATTGATTCATCCACTGGCTGGCCAGCCTCGCTGTCCACTTCCAGCACGTTTCTGTTTATTTTTGGCCAGTGCATTAAGTCAAAAGGCTAATTTGCCGGGCCGAAACGGTCTGGGCCCAAAAACTGTGTCCACCTCATTAACAAATTCAGTGTGTGGGCGTGACCGGGGCGTTATTGCTTCCAGTTCATTTGGCCGCCTGCAATGCAAATTGGGGGTCTGGGCATGCCCCCTAATTAGCCATGGGCCAGGTTGTGGATTTAAGGCCCGAATGCTGGAGCGTTCAGGGGAATGACGCTTAAATTGGCAGCGAGAGTATTTTAGGCGCCTCCAGAAAATGTCAAAAGTGTGCCCTGCCATTGGCATTGATATACAAGAAAAAATCTCAGTAGGTCAAAGGCCATTGCGTATACGCAATAAGAGTGGCCCCAAAAGAAAAGCTAAAAATCCATAAAACTTTAACATAAAATGTAGATAGACATGACGTGTGTGTGCCATAGATAAAGTATTTCATTTTATCACAATGCCAAACATTTTCCTCAACTATATAATTACTATAATTAATTGTTTACATACCTGAAGCTGTTGTTTAGAATAAACCAAGTGATTGTACTCGAACAAATGTCCGACACATTTAATAAGCTTTGTTTATATTTGCTTTTGATATACAAGTAGATAAGCATAATAAACAGCGATCAAAAGTAAGAGTTATTTTTTATAATCGAAAAAATAACAAACAAATGTTCCCTTTCATTAAATGAAGTTTAATAGTCATTTATAAAAAAAAACTGGCTTGTTTTAATGGTGATTTCCTGCTTGTTTAAATTAATTTGATTTATTAATGGGACTTATTTATTTTTTAAAACACATTTTTATAGGCAGTAGACATTGAGACAAAGGTGAGAAGCCTTTACCAAAAATAAAAGGTTTCTGGTTTTTTAAGCGTGTTAAAGGTCTTAGAATAAATAAGCTAAGAAGCTTATATTTTTACAAACCAAAAAATGTTTTCCCAACTCCTAGAATCAATCAAAATCCGTATTTTTAACAAAAGATTAAAGAGGGTTGCCGTAGAAATCAACCAATCTGTCTGCGAAAAGCCCTGTGGTTGCCCATTTTTGTCTGATCTGTCGCTGCTCCTCAAGAGTCCTGCAAATCGGCCATTTGCATATCTATGCCCGATTATGGGGGCACACAGCCACCGAAGTGGAAAGTGGAAGGAGGTGGAACCCACAAGTTGCGGCAGACAACCTGTCGCTGTGGTAAAATTTTCCATCCGCTCGGCTGCAGCCGCAACACGCACATGACGCGGAAAATGGGAAAGGCGGGGGTGGCCACTGACACCAAGACAGCTAGACAGACAGACAGACGGACGGACAGGCTGATAGACGCATCTCCAATATCCATTTCCAGCTAATTTGCGTAATATTTGACAGGAGCGAGGGGTAAGAAGGAGACATCGATGAGGAAGGTCCGCCGTCCACACAAATCGATGATCTTTTCGCCGCCAAGTGGCCACTTGAGGACCGAGCGGTCCTCAAATTACAAATTAAATCAACCGCCAGGGTATGAAAATGTTAGTTTTGAGTGTGGGGGAAAACTAAAGGCGTGCGCACACACACTCGCACGCCCGCGGGAGCACACGCACAGGATATGGGCGTGGGAGCGAGGACTCGTCAAACGGAGGCGTCCTGTCCTCTCCTGTCCGGTCGGACCTCGGCCTCGGACCCCCGGGGTGTTGTTACTAAATTAGCTGGAAACCGGACCAGCAGGATCGTAAATTGTGAACGCGTTTTAATGATGTCAAGTTGTAAACGCAGCCGCAGGTTTCCCGGGAAAATGTGTGACGGTTTTCTTTTTTTTACGTTTTTCGGGGGCAAACGCCCAGAAGCAAACTCTTTCGGTCATCAGGGACCAGAAAGTGTATTAGGACTTTAAGTGGTGTTGTTAGTCAAAAGGACATGTGAAGTAGATTTTTAAAAAATTCCTTTATTTTTAGTGTCAGGGATCGTAAGTCATTTTTTATAAACTGAAAACTAAAACACAATTACTTCAAAATATATTAGTTTAACCAATAAATTAAATTAAATTACAAATGAAAGTTGGATTCGAGAGATCTAAATATTTACAAATACTTTAAATGTTAATTTTAGTTAAAAAAGCATTTTAAATTCCTTTTAACGATATGATTTTGGAGATTTCTATCCCTAGATACCGTTTTTTGTTTTTGGCCACATGTGGGCGGCTCTGACGGCGCTCTTCTCATCTGGATAATCGTTTTCCAGTGTAAACACTTAGGGGGACCATTGTAATTTTCCCAACTACCCAACTACCAGCGAAAGTGTGAAGTGAGGAGCGGCGGGTGGCAAGCGTTGACGTTTTCACAGCTGACACTTGATGACGCTATGCGGAAATAAACAAACACACACACGCACGCAGAAATGTGGGAAAAGCGGAGCTGCTGGCAAGGAAAAATTCGAAATAAGAAAATGCGAAAGTGAGAGAGAGACGGAGACCGAAGGCAGCGACAGCCATAACAATGAGGAAAATTGTGCAAACATGCGCATAAAATGAAAACTCATTGATTGTCTCATATTGAATTTGCGCTACATCTCTCAATCTGCAAAAACCTTGCCAAATCAATTGTGCAAAGATGGGAAAATCAACCGAGAAAGGGGAGAAAAGTGAAAGAGCCAGGAAGCTACGGACAATAAGGTAATCCAATTTAATTTAATTGGCTAATCTGTTTCCAGGAAACTTTTACTCATTGGGTTAAAGTTTTCCCTTTGTGTGTCAAAGTAACCTGAAATTAACTTGAAATTATCAATGGAATAAAAACAAATAACTTTTCAAAATCAGATAAGAACAAGGAAGTATTATAATCTAGAGACATTTCATAACTGGCATTTAATTTTATAAAAACCGATTTCATAACAAGCAATTATCATATTAATCTGGAAAAAATAAAACGTTACTGAATCACCAAATTTACTTACACATGGTAATTCATTTAACAGTATTAATACAAATGAATCCATTTTAATTGAATCGCTTTAATTATAAATGCTTAGTATAGATGTGGATGCAATAAATTGAAGAGAATGACAAATTCCCAGAGGCGGAAACCGAATTGTGGGTCGATTGGAAAATTCGAGCTGGCAGAGTAGTGGTTATCCTCTGCCTCCGTTGCTGGGCAGGCCAGCAATGAAATCGCATTTAGCTCACGGCCATAACGATGTCGCCATTAAACTTGAAAGTGTTAATTAAAAATTAAAATTGATTGTCCAACTGGACCAGGACCAGGACCAGGACCAAAGCAGCCTTCTTCCTCCGCTTCCTATCCAGACCCAACTTTCTCTAAGCGCATTCCGTATTCATGGCGAACATCAAAACTTGTTGTAAAGTAATTTAGCCAGCCAAGTGATTAACAACGGCCGAAATGGAGGAAAGCCAAGGACGAACTTCCACACAGCCTCACTCCATCCGTTGGCCTCCGACTAATTTGCTAAATGCAATGGTCAAAAATAACGGGCTGAAAAGTTGGCCAAACTGCCGAAAATAGCTGCAAAAACTTTTCCGCTTCGGCCATTGTTGACAAATGATTTAGTGACAATCTATTAAACGCCCGACGATTGATGATTGATGAGCCGGCCGCCCACCAGCCGGCTAAAAGGATTAAATTGCACCGCCTTGGATCATGAAATATGCAGGAGTTCGTTCGCCAGGAATAATACTCGTAAGACGGGCCGTAATGAAACGGGTAAATACACAAAGGTATACGCGCTTATAACTGCCGCAAAATAAATAAGGACGGAAATAGAGCGATTACGGCCTGTCCTTGGGGACCTGGCCTACTTGGTTGGGGTTTAGAGCCTCGAGGTTCGAACCCGAAAAAACAGTCTCACACAGAAAATGGGTATAAGTACACAAGAGGGTCAAGTGCGGGCTTCACTCGATTCGACTCGAATAAAATTAACACGACATGAAACGCAGAGATATTGGAAAGATATTGACCGACTATTGTTGTTTTCTAACCCTCTAACACGCATTTGTAAATCAACTATGACGGAGTAATTACGATACACTGGACTTAAATATCTATTTCGGTCCTATTTGATTTAGATTTATTAACTTTCTTTGGGACCCATGAACCCATTATGAACCCATGAATTTAATATTTTTAACCTTAGAGAGATTGAATAATTTAAGGTTTGCGATCTTTTTATAGAACTACTAAGAACTAGGCATCCAGTTTGATATTCTATTTTAGAAATCCAAAGTTTCCGATCATTAAATAAATTGCAAGCGCAGTTGGTTAATATAATGCGGGGAGAAAGTTCTGGGCCTTCGTGCTGCGCTTTGGGGAGTTATGGCGTTAAGTGGAGGTTTGATTGGATCGAATTAATGCCGGGCAGCCGGCTAAAGGTCACAGGTGGAACCGGCCGATGATTGGTTCCATCGATTGCCGCCCGCCCCATGGCAACCTTATGGCCTAACCCCTATACCCAACCACCAGTGGACATATTTATAAGTATTCGAGTGTTATATATCTAAAAACTCACCGATTTGTGGCACATCGTACTGCCGTTGACCGCGGGCGGTGCGCAGCATCAGCTGGCTGGCTATGCTGTGGGACATGGGTGACTGCGCGGAGTAGCCGCCTCCTGCAGATCCCACTGGATCCCGCTGAACCGGATCCGGATCGCTTGTGGCTGGGATCCTTTTTGTCCTGCGGTGTCTGCTGCTCCGCCTGCTGCTTGGTTATTCCATCGCCGGTTGTTTGCTTGCCGGCGGAGGTAGTTCCCTCTTTAGGGGGCTTCTCGGTGTCCTTGGAGCCGGAGCGACTGGATGGCTTGGGGTGCTTGCTGGCCGTGGCCTCCGAGTTGGCCGAAAGCGATAGTTTTCCACTCCGTTGCGGCTTGAAGTGCTGGGCGAAGATCTGGCGCTGCAACTGTTTCTCTGCCTCGGGACTATGAGCGATTCCCTGGCCATTTCCTCTTCCTGGCCCACTTTTGCTGAACCCTGATGTTGTAGTTACCGGGGCCATGGGCCTTGCCCTTGTAGGGGGCGTCTCGCTGCTCCTGCTCCGCCTCGAAGAGCTGCTGCAGGGAGTCGGGTGCGCCCAGTTCCAGCTGTTCCAGCGTTCGGTAGGGATTCTCCGGGAGCGACTCCTCCTCCAGGCCGTGATACTGGTAGGCATCCAGTTCCCGCAGCAGCTCGTCCTCGCCCAAGTGCGGCTGCAACTGCTCTTGTTCCTGCTCCAGTTCCGAGAAGTCATCGAAGTCGCCGTAGGAGTGCAGTGGCTCGTAGAGCGCCTCGGCAGGCTCCTCCCTGTCCGCCGGCTGCACCACTCGACCGTAGTACTTGACGGGCCTGTTCTCCAGGTCCCTCAGCTGCTCGTAGTCCTGCTCCAGGCTGATCGGAGTGGGCGGCTGCTTCTGGACATTGCCGAAGATGTAGCCCCGGGCGGCCTGCTGCAGCAGGGCGGGATAGTCGCCCACGTCCAGCTCCTCGCTGGGCTGCATCTGTATGCGGCCGGCGATGAAGGGATGGCCGCGGTGATTGCCATTGCCGTTGCCCGCCGGCTGTTGCTCCGCCGTCTGCTTGGCGCGGGCGAGGAGCATCAGGCGTTCCCGCTCCAGCTGGGCCATGTCCGCTATCTCCTTGTTCAGCCGCACGGTGGTGGCATCGAAGGCGGCCGCAGCGGCGGACCTGTGGCCATGTGGTGACCCCGATCCACCGCCCGGCGGAGATCCTCCGGGATGCTGCTGGTGCTGCTGCTGCTGCGAGGGAGCCGTCTGCCAGGCGGCGGACACTCCCGTCGAGGGTCCCAGCGGCTGACTGGGCACCTGGACCGCCTTGGCCTCCCCCAGGGACTTCTCGCCGTTGCCGTTGCCATTGCCATTTCCGTTTCCGCTCAGGTGGAGGGCATAGAGGCCGCCCTGGATGAGCAGGACGCAGAAGAGCGTCTGGGCCAGCGAGCAGAACATTTTCCGTTTGTTGGTCTGGCGCAGCTTCTCGATTAGACGGCTTATCTTGGCGGTTCGGGGTGGGTTTACCAGGGGGAATACAATTGGGGGCGGGGGGTCTTGGTTTTTTGATGATAGAGTGGCAGGTGGTTTTTTTGGGGCTGGTGGTGGGGAAAAATCCCAGTGCTAAGAGCCTTCTCTGGATTGTTTCTCTATGGGTTTTCGATGCTTTTCACACGGCTTTTTGGCTGGGCCTTTAGGCCCCACACCACTGACCAACACTGTGCCGGCCTAGGCCTGGCATTGCACAACACTGGCCGATCCGGTATCGGACTTTTCCGAGCTACCGACTTTTCCGCTTTTTCTGGCTGCCTTTCAACGGCCCTTTCTTGTCGTTGTGTGTGTTTTTTCCCCCCGTCTTTCGTCGCCCTTTGTTGCCCTGCTGCCAAGTTTGTTTTGCGTTAAGCTGTGAAGTTCTTGCAGCCTTAGACAAAATCAATAATCAATTGTCTACTCTGGCCGGGGAGTTTGGGTTTCGCTTGGGTAGGTGAAGTCGGAAAGTCGGAGTTGGTATAGGTATGATGGGTACACATATATGGGTATAGGTATATGGCCGTTTGAACCTGGTTGTTGGCCTCTGACAACAACTAGTTGCTGTCTTCCGTCGGCTTTTCGGTTAGCAATTCCAGTTCCTTGGAGTTTTGATTTTACTTTTTATTTTAGCAGGCCTTTGGGTTAGCTTTTCTTCACTGGCCAGTCATTCGTTTGTATGATTTCGTAGCTTATTAGTTAGTTTTTCCGCGGCACTTTGGTTTTCCCTCTTTCGCTTTTTGAGCTGCTCACTTTTTTTTACTTTTGTTAAAATGCAACGAATATTTATGTTGTATAATTTGTATATTTTTATAAGCAGTTGAACAAATATTTTGTTTTTTTTTTCTTTTTGTTATTAATATTTTTAAGGAACTTTTAGCACTTTTCGTGTTTAGCTCTCTCAGCTTGCGGCACTTAGTTTCTTTGGGGATTGTGGTTGGATAACTTTTGCACACGAGTCACTGCACTTGGATAGGGAATATATCTTTGGATATTTTTCGAAAATATTGTTTTGGGTTTCCTGGGAATAATTTCGTAATTAGCTTTCTTTTTTCGTTTTTTTTCCGAAAACTTTCCCTTGTTTTGGGTGAGTGTGAGTGGTGTTTTGTGGACTAGCTTTGCTTCTAGTGTTATTTTCTATTTTATCGGCTGCCTCCAAGAGTGTTCCGCACGTTTGAACCGACGAGCAAGGACTCGTCGTGTCGTCTCAGCAGGATTTGCCTGTTTGTCTGCCTTTTGCTTGGCCGCCTGACGCGTGTCCCTCTGCCGCTGCCGGCGTCGCAGTCGCTGCCTCGGCCGACGTCGCTGCCTTTCCTCAAGGCGTTTCGTATTTCCACTTTATGGCAGTCGTAGTCGTACTCGCACTCGTACACCCACTTCCTTCGCGCCCCGCCTCGAATTTCACTCCTCGGACAACTGGCTGCTGGGTCCTCTGCGCTCTCTCTTTCTCCTTGCTCCTTTCCCCTGCCTCCTTTCTCCGCTTTCTCCTGCTCCTTCTCCTGCTCCTGTTCCTGCTTCTGGTTCTTCCTCTTCTCTGGGCCTCAGCTTCAGCTCCGGCGTTTTGCTCTCGGTCAGCGGGAAAACTCGAGCTCGAAACGACTGTTCGCTCTATACTGAGCGCTACGCCCGCTCAACCACTTGTTTTCAACCAGCCTCATGTGTAGAGTTTTTCCCGAAGTCTAACGGGAAGAGAGTGAGAGAGAGAGAGCGAGAAAGCGAAACAGAGAGAGTGCCTGATCCTGCGCACTTTGTACCGTTACCGGCATCACCGACTCCCATTTTCCCATTTTCCCATTTCCCAGCTGCCATATGATTTGCGGTCACCACTTTGCGTGGGTCGCACGGCGTCGGGATCCATCGTTTTGGCGGGGAATTTCCCCAGTTCGATTCGAAATCGTGGGTAATCCCATTTCGCTGTCATCATCTAATGCTCCTCTAATCCCAAATACCCGCCAATCACCGAATGCACCTTTTACTGGGTTATCCCGAGATTGTTGTGCTTTCCTGTCGCAATAATCAATGGTGGGAAATAAAGTGAGACCGCAAGTTGGGTTAGTCCCGAGATAAGTATTTCATTTACTTAAAGGACAGCTAATGGGAACTTCAATAAAGTCATTCGATGAAAGGGAATTAAGCCACTTGACGTTACATCCTTGAAATCGTATCGGAAATCAGAGTTTTAAGCCTACTTTAAATTTAACAGGCGGACGAGAAAACGACCCTTGATGTAGAATATATATAATTTTCTAATGGTATTTAAAAGCTAAAATATAAAAATTACCTTAGCTTAAAAATGTTTACTTTGTTTACCAATTACATATATATACATATATATATGTATATATTACATATATGTAATATATTTCGAAGTAACTATTTGTTCTTAATCCCGTTATGGGCAAACCATACGAAAACGTTTCTGTTATTTTTTCCGCAGCTGTATATTCTGCTTGATCAGGGTCACTAGCGGAGTCGATATAGCCATATCTGTCTGTCCGCCTGTCTGTCTGTCTGTCTGTCTGTCCGTCTGTCCGTTTGTCTGTCTGTCCGTCTGTATGAACGCTGAGATCTCGGAAACTAAAAAAGCTAGAAGGTTGAGATTTCCCACACATATTCCTGGGCTTCCTACGCAGCGCAAGTTTATTTCAGCCGAGCGCCACGCCCCCTCTAACGCCCACAATCGCCCACTAACGTTTTTAAAATGTGACTCGCGCCCACACCTTTAAAGATAAATGCAATTTTGTTGTGTATATTTATACCTATCGAAATGTAGGAGACATTTTTAAAATCGGACCACTCATTAAAAAGTAATGCGCAGTCAAAAATGCTATATATCTATCTCCCTCGCACTCCTTTTAGGTGAGTGATGGGTATTAGATAGTCGGGACACCAACCCAACCATAGCGTTCTCTCTTGTTTTTTTTTTGCGTAGAGTAAAAGAGTATACTGTATTTGGGCAAAAGTATGTAACAGGTAGAAGAAAGCGTTGCCGACCCAATAAAGCAGATTTATTCTTGATCAGGATCACTAGCCGAGTCGATCTTGCCATGTTTGTCTGTCCTTCTGTCTGTCCGTGTGAACTTTCTATCCGTCTGTCTGTCGGAAACTATAAGAGTGAATGTTGAATGTGAATGTTCTTGGGATTCCCAGTTTGTTTCAGCCGAGCGCCAAGCCCACTCTAACGATCACAATCACTCACAATCAGCCTTTAACGATTTTCGAAAAGTATAAAGGCAATTGTTGTTCTTGGTATTAATAAACATTAATACCTATCGGAATGTATAACAATTTTCAAACCGGACCATTCATTAAAAAGTAATGACCAAATAATGAAATTTAAGCAGTGCAAGCAGTCGCTTGCACGTCTTTCTCCCTAATGGGTATCTGATAGTCAAGGTACTCGACTATAGCGTTCTCCCTTGTTTTTAATGTTAGACTATAAAAAAGTTCTTTTGACTATTTTATATTATCAGAAACGGATCTAGGAATTGGTTATTGAAGCGAATTAGAATAAATACTGCCTACTTTTAGAGTAGGGGAAATTTTAAAGATTTATTTATGTTTATTTTTATGTAATAAGTAAGTATAAATAAGTCAATTTAATATATATTCAACTGCTAATTTAGTTTTCAAATTAAATAACACAATCTTTTAATTCCGCCTGTACTCACACACCCCCTTTTATAATCATATGCCGATCGCTTCACATCGAACTTTCGAGTTTCTTCCCCTTCATTTTGGAATTCGAAAAACGATGACGCCCACACATTAGCGACAAATACCTAAAACCAAAACACAACTCACGCAGCAGCACCAAAGCTATGTGAATAAAAATGAGCACAGGGAACCGAACCTAAATCGGAACTCAAGGAGGAGAAGTGCGGATAAGGACGAGGCGGATTCGGGTGAAAGCCAACATGAATGAAGGAGAATTTCATGAGAAGAGAGTCGTCATCATTGCTTGCAGCCAGCTTTTCGCTTGTCGTTTTTCGATTTTTGCCGTTGTTTTTGCTGTTGCACACGCCCCATGCAGGACTCAACAGCTGGGGGCGGGGGGCGTGGCTGGCGAACAGAGGACGAAGACGAGTCCTGTTGTCGTCACAATGTCTGTGGTTTTTACGTTTTACGAGCAAGCTATAATATATTCGCCGTGCCAACGCAATGATTTTCGAGCCGAGGTGAAATTGAATCGAGAGCTCGGGCCACGTGAATGGACTTGGCCCACGGTGTGGAGAGTTTTGAATGGACGAGTTAATGAATAGTTCCTCGTACAATCGAAAAAGTTTCCAGGTTGGCCGTAAAAAGTAGTCATTCAAAAAGATAATAAAGAAAATTAAAAGGGAACTATGTTCGAAGATTAGAAATATATTTTTAATAAACTATCAAATAAAAACACCTCTTAACGAGGTAAAAAACTAGTGACGATCGCACCTTCAACATACAAAAGTTCTGATATCAACATTTGTGACGAAAAATTATTACACTCGTCATTAAATAGACTTTCTAATATTTTTTTATTCGGCCCGCCCTAGCAGACTATTCCAGCCTTTTTCCCTTCACAGGCATTTTCTATTGCAGCGTGCAAAATTTAAGGAATCTCAAGGGCTACACAGTTTAAGGTTTTAAAGAAAATCGTTAGAGCCGTTTTTGAGAAAAATAAAAAAAGCTAGCTAGTTTTTCCAAAAGTGGTAGAACAAAAGTTTTTTATATCGATGTGATGAACGTCATATCAAATTTTCAGAACTTAAAAAACATATTTTGGACAAGTGGACAAGTGGACAAACTGACAAACAGAATTAAATTTTCATTTTGGGAAGAAGAAGAAAATCTTATTTTGGCTATAACTTTTGAACGGAGCGTCGGATTTTGACAAATGACCCCTCATTCGACGGGTATTTTCAAAAGGAATACAACTAAAACATTGCGAGGGGGCATTTATCCCCACCGGCCCCAACAGCTCCAAATTTCGAAATTTTCACTTTTTCACTTTCACCGCTCTCTCTCCCAAGCCAATTGATTTTCTTAAAGTCTTGGTATGCAATCCTTTAAGTTATTGCAATACCTTTCGATTGGTGTATTACTCATTACGATCGGACTATCACAGCAGATTTTCAATTTTGCGGCTATATAATAGTAGTCGCCTTCGCACACTCTCCTGGTGCGCTTCGTCACTACATGGACTGCCGTCCATAGTGATATTTACGTTCATTTTTGTAATTTACTTTAATGTTGTCTGAGTTTTCGCTAACCTTCCACAAGTAGGTTTTAGAATTAGGTCTTTAGAATTTCAAATCCTACAAATATAATGTTGTTTTAAGTTTTAAAATACAGATCTGATTGAAATGGTTAATAAGTAATGGTTAAGATCTCCAAACCCCAGTCTCATTGAGAGCAGGTCTCCACGCGAAAAGCCGGCTTGGACTCTCAATTTGTTGCTCGACCCGAAAGTCTCCAGACCGTTTGGAAAACTCTACAGACAACGGCAAACAGCTGAGTCTGGCCAGGGCTTTTCCCCTTTCCCGTTCCCCGAGACTCGGTCCTACCACAAGCCAAATGCACTTGCTGGGCCCAGATTGGATTCCTGGGGGGACAACAACAGATGATTCTGCCAGGCGAATGCGCAGGCGCAGACTCAAGAGACGACTACGTCAACAACAAAAATCGAATCCACGGATTTTCATTCAGGAGATAGACCCCCAGCCCCAGAAAGTTGGGGAAACCAGAGCGCGAGCCCTCGAGCAGCGATGTGAAAACGGGAAGTAGATGGGGATGCGAGAATGGCAGGAGCTGGGGCATATGGGGAAAATCAGCGCCTGGCTGGCGTCGTTTTTCAACGATGTCGCCGCCCGAGAAGCCGAGGAATCGGGGATTCAGGCAGCTATATAGCCGAGGCAATGGGGAGCAGGATGAGGGCGATGGGTGCGCCGCACGACGATGACGCCTACGCAGCTTTGTGACGTAAGCAGGCTCGCAGGACCTCCGACCGAGGAGGACCCGAAGCTCCAAGCGAGTGCAGGCTGGCCCCATTGTCTTGGCCGATGGCGATTCATTGGCGATTCCACAGTTGGGCTCGTCACATGCCCACCTCGACGTTGTCTCCTTGTGCTCCTCTGGTTCCTTCTGGTCCTTTGCACCTTTGCACTTTGAACTTGGCAAATCAAAAGGGTTCTTGTCGTGTGGGAATGGCTTAAATGACAAATCGGAATTATGCAAATAGCAGCAAAGGTTACACATATTGGAAAAAATGCTATCGAAGTAATTTTATTCATGGGCTGTATTACATAAATCATACTTAGTTCACACATATAGAACAATTACCTTATAAGTCCAAATGTTGTATACTAATTCACCGAAGTTGGATAGTCAATTGGCTTATAAAGATTTTTTTTTTGAATATCCCATTACTCTGCAAATAATTACAATTGGGTAATATTCAAAATTCGAATTTATTTAAATTTGCGTGAAATTTTTCGCTTTTCTGAAGAAATAAAAAGCATTGTTAACACGCTTCATGTAGGGTAGTTGTACAAATATTGTTATAACCTTTATTATCCCTTTAACTATTTGGCATACCAACAAGACAAATAAAATGTT